TGTGATGAGCTAACAAATCAAGTTGCTAATCTTAAGGCCGTAAAAATACCCCCACCAAGGCATCTAAAAGAAATGACATAATTAAAAAGGATGCATCTACCTCTCTTGCAATGATTTATGTTTAGACTCACCTTTGTGCAACCAAGTTTGTGTTAAGAAAGTGATTGTAGATACATGCACACAAGAGGTTGCAAAAGAGAATGAGCAACTCAAGCAAGAAGTAGCTCGCCTCACCAAGGACTTGACTCAAATGAAAGGCAAGGCGTGAAGCAAACCCAACTTCATCAAGATAACACCGTCAAGGGAGTGAAGAAGCTTGATGAAGGACAAATCGTGGTTTGCTATGTGTGCCACAAAGAAGGCCACAAGTCCTATGAGTGCAAGGTGAAGAAAGGGGGAGGAGCAAAGAAGAAGGAGAAAAAGCAAACAAGCAAGCTCTCCAACACCTACACCAACAAGGTGGACAAGAAGGCCTCCACACCTTATCTCTTGAAGAAGAAGAAAAATGACAAGGTGGTGGCCATCAAGGTGAACAAGCAAGCAAACAAAGGGGTCAAACGCTTTTGGGTGCCAAAGGAAATCATTTCCAACATGAAGAGCACCAAGAAGGTTTGGATCCCGAAAGGGAAGTAAGAAGTCCGTCAGACCACGGGGAATTTGGAGACTTGGCAAAGTATGGGTGCATTTCATGGGGTGCATCATGATGGACAAAATCATTGCCAAGTGGGTTAGTGAATACTATGGACCCAAATTCCCCTTCCCATGTTAGGTAACTAGATGTTATTGCTTTTAAATTGGTACATCTTGCAATTAGTTTTTCCTACAATTGATATCTTTAAGCATCTAGTTACTTTTCATGCCTAGGGTTGCATTTGCATGCTTATATCTTTTGTCATGCATACACTAGGTATTTCATATGGTAGGCTTGCTCGGTCTCATTTGTAACCCTTGGAGCAAACCTACATGGTTTAAAATTGCTTAGGAGCATGGCACATAGCCTGTCTTACTATTGTTTATCTAATATGTGCCAAAGTCCAAATTGTAGATAATTTTCTCCCAAATATCATCTTTCAAGTGGTATTTTGACTCCAAAATCAATTGTGCATGAGTACTACAAGTATTCCATGTCTCCATGCACAAATTTAGGGGGAGGATCATCTATAAGATGGACGCTTTGAGACTAACACCTTTTTCAAGTTTATCATGTGTGTAGTGGTCTCATTGCAAGGAAAATGGAGTCCCCGAAGAGAAGCATCGTTCTTCAGTTGGCATCATTATGTTGATTTCATTTCATATTTATATGCTTTCTCCATGCATTATATAGATTAAACTCTCTCGTGCAACAATTTGCTAATTATGCATATGCTTTGCTTTCTACCATATGTATGCATATATTTAGGGGGAGCTTAGTCTATATAATGCGAGAGTCAAATTTTGTGATCCATTTCACTCTATACACAAAGGATCATGAAATTTGACCCTCCCTTGTGCTACTAATGTCTTCCTTTTTTAGTGTTTGATGCCAAAGGGGGAGAATTTGAAGGACCAAAGGCAAGCATCAAGTTGATGTCTACAAGTGGTAATGGTCCGAGAAAGGGAGGAAAGTGAATTATGGATTAGTCTATGTAATGGGAATTTTTTTTTAAAAAAAAAGATAGGCTCTAATCCATAATATCACATGGGGACATTTGCAAGGGCAAGACATGCTTTTGAGTAAAGTTTTAATTGGTATCTATCAATTAGTATCATATAACCTTGCCCTTTGCATTGCATCCTAGCAAGTAAATAATTTTTAAATTTAAATTTTTTTATCATTTGCTTGCTTTGGTCGTGTTGTCATCAATCACCAAAAAGGGGGAGATTGTAAGGAAAATGGACCCTTGACCCATTTACTTTGGATTTTGGTGTTTGATGACCAACACAACCAAATTGGACTAATGAATTTGCAAGTGTTTGTTTTGTAGTCCAATAGGGTGCAAGACGTGACTTGGACGAAGGCGACGTGATGATCCGATGATCAACACCTCAAGCAAGACCTTAGAAGCACAAGAAAAGACCCAAGATGTCAAGCAAAGTCCAAGCATGAAGATAGGAACCAAGCCGTGCGCAAGAGATCGCAAAAAACGAGCTCATAGAGGCGATCGGACGCTGGACCGGACGCCTGAAGCGCTTGACCGACCGCTGGACCGGTGGCTCGGCAGACAAAGCGACCGGACGCAAGGACCGGACGCTGGCGGAAACCGACCGAACGCAGAACGCAGCGTCCGATCGAAAGTCTGAAGAGGTTCCAGCGCTGCTGAATCTATGACGGACGCGTCCGGTGGCGAAGCGACCGGACATTGGCGGCGTCCCGTCGATGTAGTTCGCGGCTTCTAGCGAGTCGGACGACGGGGACGCGTCCGTCGGGAGACGATTCAAATCAGTCCGGCCGATGGCGTAAATGCGGAGTTCGACCCCAACGGCTACTTTTTCGATGAGGGCTTATAAATACAACCCCAACCGCCATTTGAGGAGTGTGGAGCTGAGGAAACATATCAAGAGTGTTGATACACCATTTGAGTGATCTCCACATGCATAGTGCTTAGTGTTTTATTAGGTGATTAGCATAAGTGCTTTGCGAAGTGCTTAGGTTGATTAGACCATCGCTTATGCGCTTGCTCTAGGTGTTTGCCTAGTGTTTAAGTGAGGTTTGCATACCTCTTGCCACCCCGTGCTTGTGAGCACAAGTGTTGTACATCGGAGGGGCTTGAAGTCTTGCGAGATCACACCAACCGCGTTTGTGGTGTGGCCGCCACCGCAGTCTGGAGGGAACAAGGCCATGCGCGTTTGGTAAGCTTGATAGTGAAGACGGCGGGGAGCATCCGGGAGAGGCTTGCCGGAAGGCACATCGGAGACCCACTTGCGCGTGGGGAAGGCCCGAGGCTATCCACGGAGTTACCCGACCGGGAGCTTGGCCCTTATGTAGGATTCCTTGCGAGGGCTCCAACGAGGACTAGGGGGAAGCTTGCGCGCTTCTCGATACCTCGGTAAAAATACCGGAGTCGTCGACGGGAGTTTGCATATCTCTACCTTGCTCTTTAAGCTTCCGCATTTACATTGATCATATTATTATCATTTGCGGTAGAGATAGCAACACACTAGCAAAACCGTAGTTGCACATCTAGATAGATTATCTTTTGCATAGGTTTTGCTAGAAGTAGAAAAAGAGGCCATAGTTTAGAGTTAGTTTTTAAGTTGCCTAATTCACCCCCCCCCCTCTTAGGCGTCCACGTGTCCTTCAATTCTTATGCAAGAAAAAGCTGGTAAGAAATATAGTGAAATTGTCTTTCCCATCCCCCCCCCCGCTATAAAAAAAACGTTTATTTCTTAAAATATCCCATATATGTAGGGGAAACCAAGGAAGGGGACAGATCTATCCTGATGGTAGCAAGAGTAACAATACGGTCTATAATGCTACGTCAACGGGTATAGTAAAAAAACTACATAAAGAAAGGGGGGATATGGATTTTCCCTCGACCATGTAGAAGGATCAATCTTCGTTTAGATTCCAAAAAGAATACTGCAAGCCCCTTAACCATGGTGATTTTATTTCTAATTTCAGTAGCCAGCTACAAAATAAGTTATTCTGTAGTCACCTTCATTTACGATAATTTTATATACTAATTTACGATAATGTCAATACATATTTACTATAGTTGGGTTACTATAACACATGGGGATATTTACCATAACGTTATAGTAAACCACTTAGTAAGGAGTTATTATAATCTCGTAAATTAACATAGTAATTATCGTAACTCAAAGTGGCTACATAATAAGTTATTTTGTAGCCCCGGCTACAGGATAGTAGCTCTCTCTCTCTCTCTCTCTCTCTCTCTCTCTCTATATATATATATATATATATATATATATATATATATATATATCGATTTCCCTTTTTTAATTGTTTTCTATTTCTATTGTATTCGATGTGTTACTTTTACCTGATTTCTACTGGTTGATTTACCATGGTCTGAAGGTGGGTGAAACTAAGGAATTCGTTTGAAACCTCCTTTTAACTCATGTCAAATGGAGGCAATGTTTTACATCAGTTTAGGCTACCCGAACTGTTTAACATTGTTTAGTAACAAAAACAAATTAATGGTTATCTGAAATAAAGGCTACAACATAGAAAGCCTACTTGAGATTGCTTCAGTGAAGGATTTGTAGAATTTGCTTGAAAAACAAGTAATAAATGGTTAAGATGATTTTTATATCACATAAATGTGTCACCGCTAATACAAAAATTATGTCACCGCAATGCATGAGAAAACACGATATAGACACGTGTGTGTCGCACGTGCATTTCCACTAGTTTTTATATACAAATGTTGTAAGTATTGTCTACAAATCCTACATGTAGCAGTAGTAATTTTATGCAGCTTTGAGGCATACATCAAGCCCAATTTCAGATACAGTCAATTCCTCTTGTCAGGTGTGGAACTGTGAATGTGTGCTGCCAGTGCTACCCAGTGATGTTTATATATTATCCATTCCATTTAAAGTAATAAATTACTCCCTCCATCTTACAAAGAGTGTCATTCTCATTTTTTGAGAAATCGAACAATTTTAACTTTAATTAAATATATATAAGAAAATATTAATATTTATGATACATAATTAATATAGATGAATCACTGAATGTATTTTTAAAATAAATCTATTTTGAGTACAAATGTTTTAAATATTGCCTATAAATCTGGTTTTTTAGAAGAGCCTATAAATCTAGTTAAATTAAAGAAAATTTGACCAACGCTCTTTTCTGCGATCTGCACTTTGCCAGGGGAAAGACGGATGGTGGGGTTTGGGCCCCGATCCACGCCGTTCCAAGGCATGTCAAATGAGCCCAAAAGTATCTGGGCCGATAAAACCCATCGAATCAGAGGCCGTTCTAAGTTGGACTTCAGAATCAAATCAAATCCCAAAATTCCATCCCCACTTCTCTCCACCGGCCTCCTCCGATGACCCTAGCTGGAGCCTGTCGCCGCCGGCGAGCACCGCGACCCCATCTCCCTCTCTTCGTCCTCGTCCTCCTAATCTTCTCCACTCCAATCCCACGCGCTTCGGCGCTCCGCGTCCCGCTGCGCCAGGCAGCCACCCTCGTCTCCCTCTCCCATTCGCTCCTCTCCCGCGTCGCCGCCACACGTGCCGCCCGTGGGGACGCCGCGGCGGCCGCACGCGCCCGGCGAATCGCTTCCCTGCTGTCGTCCCGTGGCGCGTGGGGACTCGGCTGGGACTACCTCCGCCACTACGCCTTCTCATCGGCCACCGGATGCGGCCTCTCCTGCGCGGCCGCCGCCTCTCGTCTCATCGCCGCTGCCGCGGAGGCCTCGCGCCTACGTTCCGCAACTGACGCTGCGCAGTGGATGCGCCGCCACTACGGCGACATCCGCGACGCCGCCGCGCAGCTCCTGAACGGCCTTCTCCTCGCCTTCTCCGAAGAGGTAACTGACCTATTCACTCGTGGTGCCTCTGATTCACACATTGCTCTGTCGATTAGTGACATTTGTTGCGGTTTAGGGGCCATTGAGAGATGTGGTCATGGATGTTAAGTGGGAAGTGGAGGAAGGGGAATTGCTGAAGGATTGCCTGGAAGTGGGAGCTAAGGACTTACAGGGTTTGCTTGTCATTGCCAAAGATCTCTTCGCTGGTGTTTCAAGGACTTTTACGCCGCATAGTGAGCTCTGAGGTTTGGTGACTTTAAGTTGCCTTTTCTGATCTTTTCAGGAACTCACGCATATGCTTGTGTAATCTAGTTTACTTTAGAAGTCTGGATCTTGACCCGTACTTGTACATAAACTAAATCCTTGTGATGTCACTGTTGTGTCCGCTACTAATGGGCATTGAATTCTGAGCTGTGCATAATTGCTAATCTGAATCCATTTGTTATCATGGCGCTACCAATAACTTTGGCCCTTTTTTTCTCAATGCACATACTATTTTATTGATTTAGTGGGAAATGTTGGGCATGAAATTGTCCTATGCAAACATTGTATAGAGATAATATAAGATGTAGTTATTCTCCAGTCAGTTAGGTATTCAAACAAAGGCCGCAGCTATTTTCATTGTTGATTTTGAATGAAAGAGCTTAGGATATGCCCTTTTGTTTGGTAATAGGAGCTCATACTTTCCATCTAGAAAGGGATGGTTCTGTTGCCAAGAATTTAATATATCAAAAAGATGAACCACCCATGCTGCCCACAATGTCCTATAACTGCCTGTCCGATTTATGCATGCTTAACTTTTCTGTACCATAGAACAAATTCACATTAGTTAGTACCAGGCAGCTATCTGGCATTGGGTATATTGGGACCTAATAGTATGTGATAAGCGGATGGGGAACCTTCTGCAGTGGGTGGTTCAGTTAGTGCCTAAATTATCAGATGGCTCGCCACCGGCTGATCTGAAATTATACCGTCAAGCTCTCAACTGAAGATTCATGCTAAGTAAAAATTACGACTTATCAACATTGATTAAATTAGTCCATGATGGTAATAGAAATTCCAGTTACTTATCAAAGTGATTCGGAGAAAGAGATAAAAATTATTTTGTATAAATAGCACCAATTGAATTACATAGCCATGAGAAGCTCAGACATTCTCCTTTATGAAATGTTCCGCCAGAAGAAAAAGGTCTTCTCAAACCAATTATAATTGTAAAACTTTGTTACAGGATGTTATAATTTCAGTCTTGAAGAAGAATATTTTTATTTTTGCGAATGATGTTATATTATTTTATGATCCAGCGCCATGAGTAATCACAATTCACAGCACACTAACCAAAGCATGGAGAATAGAAAAAGAAAATTCAGAATTTTGGCTGTGTGCTGCAATGTTCATGAACGTATCAGATCCAACTGTCTCATTGGACCCACTCCCAAAACATCAAAACTCCTCTGCTTGGTGATACTGCCTGTAAGTTAATATATCTTATGATATTCGACAAGTTTTATTTTAAAGATAGGATTAAAGTTACACAACATTTATTGATATTCAAACTTATGAAAATAAATCTATTGTATTTTGAATCCAAAGTTTGTGAGATCTGCATGCATATTATATCAACTGCTGGCAGAGAAAAACTGCATGGCAAATATTCCTCTTCATTTCATTAGATCAGCTTTATGTAGAATCCATCACCTGGATACCCAAAAATACTGGTTGGTTCCCATGTAAACTTGAAAAACGCCTTAGGTCTTACCTTCAAGGGTACTTAACATTTATCAACCACTCCCCATTACATAAATGTTGCTTTTGGTGCACTTGTAGGGTAGTACCATATAGGCCTTGTTTAGATAGCTGCTAGTAATCAGTATTTGACACTGTAGCACTTTCGTTTGTATTTGACAATTATTGTCCAATCATGGTCTAACTAGGCTTAAAAGATTCATCTCGTAATTTACAATCAAACTGTATAATTAGTTATTTTTTTATCTACATTTAATACTTCATATATGTGTCCAAAGATTTGATGTGATTGAGAGAGAGTGAAAAAACTTGGAATCTAAACAAGGCCATCATGTCACTTCCCTAGCAAGTCAGTGATGTTAGTGGGCTAATATTTATTTGTGCTTGTCAAGTTGCCTCGGTTCCATCTGCCCCTCGTACCTCTGTCCTCTGGTGATAAAACCTCACAACTATAGCTGCACGAGGTCCTGCAACCTGTGTCACCTACCAGCCAATCTTAGAGTGTTTAGTTGGTTTGGTGAAAATTTTTGGATGTCACATTGGATGTGTTGGAAGGATGTTGGGAGAGTTTTTTGGATACTAATAAAAAATAAATTACCATAACCCATCTGACATTGAGACGATCTAATGATACTAATTAATTGGTTATTAGCACATGTTAGTTGCACCACTTATCTTTTCATGGACTTATTCTAGAACTTCGTCTCCTTTTGCCCTAATGCTATTAGCACGTTTCTGATTTACCCGCTATATCTGCTCTTTTACCGTAGGAGGCAAAAAAATTTTGGAAACTAAACCAGGCTTTAGTTGCACGATGTGAATTCTGGAATCACTTAAGTTTACTTTGATCAAACAGCATAGTCATAGGTATTCAGCTTTGAAATATTTTGACCTGTATATTGTTGGTTGAATACCTGTCTACATCATTTGCGCGGGTATGTGCTGGTAATGTACCTACCCGAAACTTGAGTGTTCGCTTGTACAGTTATGGGCTTATGTCCACTCCAAACTTAGCAAGTCTAGATTAGGCCATAATGAAGCATCATTACCATAAATTTACTGACATTTGATTAGGCAACAATTGGTTATTGGTCCTTTTTAGTGCACCACTCATCATCATCTTATTCTAGAACTTCCTCCTGCCCTAATACTAAGAGCACGTCTGATACCCGCTTATCTGGGGTAGGTAATCTGGTTCCTTGTTTGGTGAGATGGCTTCGAACGACAGCGGTTGCTTTGCGCATTACACGTTACTAGCAAAATCATGAAGTTTGGCTCATATGTTTCATGAATGCATGTTGTATATCTGAAACTACTTTAGATTGAATCTTAATGTTTCAAACTACTTGTGTGGACATTCTTTTTGTAAGGCGGTAAATGTAAGTAAGATGCATCGGTGCTGAACTAAATGGAGTACGGCAAAGAGCCGATGTAGTTGTTGATACAAATGTGCTGTGCTCATGATGAAATGTCTTCTGGCTAAGCCCTGTGTTCTCCAATTGCTGGGGACTGGGGTTTGAATGTTTGACCAATACTCGTTCAATACAAACGGGGAAGTCAGCACCAAACCCATGTTACATGTTTCAAGCGCCTATACATTAATGTAGCATGTTTCGGCGTTAAAAACAAATTGAGGGTACTCTGGCCGTATGTCATTTTCCCATAGGCTGGAGCTGGGCTGGTCGACTTCATAGATCTTTTTACCTACATTTGAGGCTAATGTGGTCACCAGCTCGATGCATTTATTGACGGACTTGGTTCCTCTAGATCTGCTTCTTGTTGAAGCCAAAAAAAAAAAATGGTTTTTTCGTTGTACATAAATTGAATTTGACTCAAGCTACAGCTAGGCTGCGAAGTACTCATGGAGCAAGATTTGTAGATGCTGTATGGGCTGAATTATTAGGATCTAATCATGTTGGCGGCCGAGAAAACCGATGGAAGAGTTACTCTCTGACGCACGAACAGTATCGTCAGCCTTTTATGTTCCGTTTTTAGAGAAAAATCAGCAATAAAGTCGCAAGTTTTACGATGTACTCCCTCCAGGTAAGAATGCAATTATGAGATCCGTGCCGGTCAAATTGGTACAAATTTGACCAAATTTAAATTAAATAGTATTAATATTTAGGGATAATTGTCCCAACATCCAAAGTGATTTTCCTGAAAATACCTACTTTAGAACATTTTGCGCTAAGACACTTATTTTGTAAATTATAAATATTAGTATTTTTTATTGAGGAGGGATTTGAAATGACATTCTTGCCCCTACCACTTTCTTTTCCTCTCTCCTTTCTTTTTTTTTCTTTCTTCCCGCCCCGCCACCTCTCCGCCTCCCGACGACGATACTTCCGTCTTGTGGCGAAGTCCGGGCGGCGCGCGGCTAGCGCCATGGCGCTGGTGGCGGTTCTCGAGGCACACTTGTAGCGAGCTCGAAGAGCATCGTAGGCTTTTGCGGGCTCCCCAGGCCACCGTCGCGGGTCGGTCAATGTCAATTCCGCTGTTCACTGGATACTTCCCCTGTCGGGACACCACGAGAGCGCCACACAAAATGCACGAGCCCCACATGGGTCGTCGCCGCCGCCCAATCCGTACGTAGATCGGCTTTTTGTTTTAGTTTTGAAGAAAAGCGGGCGTAGGATCCTTGAACGAAGTCGAAGATGTTGTCGAGCGGCAACGGCTTGGCCTTGAACGCAATAAAAGCTTGTCGTAGCAGTATATATCTATCGGTATTGGTCCTGGTGTCCGGAGGGTTTTAAGGACCCGCGCCGATATGTAGCGCGATACATCGATTGTGCTCGTATTCGTCCATGAGAAATCAATGCTAGGAGACCGAGACGTCGCCGAGATTGTCGAGTCTGGCAGGGACCATCGGCAGAGGCCTGGACCCTCGCCGGGGGCGCTAGGCGGAGGCGGCGTGGAGGAATGGGGTGGGGGCCGGTCAGCCGGGTCTGGAGTGAGTCACGGTCATAATTCGAGCGGCCCAAAGCCGGGGCAAGTCGGAGAGAGAGAGAGGAAAGCGAAAAGTGGAGGCGATGGGGATATCATATCATTGTAGCCTCAGGGGTCTCCTTCCATCTTGTAGGCCCTTGCGAGAGGGGAAGAAGAAAGTGACAGTTCAAGAATGTCATTTCACCGACTCTCTACCATCAACACACGTCCTTGGATCACCGAAATGGCCAATTTCATCGAATAAGAGTGTCTTCTGGTAAAATACTCTAAAGTAGGTGTCCATCAGCAAAGGACCGTTACTTTGGGTGTCCATCGGATAATTATCCCTGATATTTATGTCCCCAAACCGAATCACTTTGGAGCCGGTCACGGTCAGCCGGAGCCTGGGCTGACACGGTCATAATTCCGTGGCCCAAACCGAATCACATCCGCTGCACCTAGGCCCAGGCCCACATGTGCACTCTTGCGAATTCGCAGCCCTTGTTCACGACACGACTGACCATTAGTCCATTACCATTACACACGTCCTTGGATCACCGAAATGGCCAGTCACCATGTTTGCATCTGCTGTTAGGCGGTGTTTAGATCAGTGTGTAAAGTTTTAGGTATCACATCGGAAGTTTTGGGTATTAAATCGGATGTTATATGGGTGTCGCATAGGGTGTTCGGATACTAATAAAAAAAATAAATTATAGAATCCGTCAGTAAACTACGAGATAAATTTATTAAGCCTAATTAATCCGTCTATATTTAATACTGTATATATATGTCTAAATATTTGATGGAATAGTGTGTAAAGTTTTGACGGAGGAACCAGGGCTTTCTATACTGTATATATATGTATCTAAATATTTGATAGAATATGGCGTAAAGTTTTGACGGAGGAACCAGGGCTTAGTGTAGAAAGCGTGCGTGCAGAGCAAGAGGGGTGGTGAGGCAGCGAGGGCACTAGGTCAGGGACGTGCGCGCCGCAGGCGGCCCCCGCGGTTGGGGGAAGTATAAAGCGCCGCCGCGGTAGGTTCCTCCCGCCCGCGCGCGTCATGCGCGCCTGCCTGTAGCTCGCTGCCTCGCTCTGGGGCGGCGCGGAATGCCGGCCAGCTCACTGACACTGGATCAGGCAGGGGAGGCTGCATGCGTCGAGCACTACAGGAAAATGATTTCGGGGGGCTGCTGCACCTGCACTGTACGTCTGTACCGTACCGTCGGCGTTTCGACTTGAAGGAACTGGAGCTCTCTCATCCTTCCTACCGCCATTAATGGATCGGAAATGCCTTGCCGTGCCTCTCTCGAAGCACTGCATGGTAAGTACATGCCGAGATGCAGTGCTTTCTGTCGGTAGAAAGCCTTTTGTATCTTTTCCAAAGGAAGGCCGAAAGAAACGGCACGGTAAGCACTGTTGAAGTACAGTAAGTGGAGTGTTGAGGTACTGTCGCCGCTGCACGGCAGGGGAAGGATCCATGCACCCCACAGCCGACAGTATGACACCACGCACCAGCTCTAGGAGTAACTGTTGCAACTCCGCTCCCCACAGCACGCTGCGTGCGAACCCCAGTCCTCTTGCTACCATCATCACGAATGCGCGCACGCACCACGCAGCGCAGTGATAGCAAGATATACATGCTTTTCACTGGGATCTGTTGAAATGTAATCGGTACGGCTAATTCTAAACTTAATTACAAGATTAATTAAGCACTAAGCTTTTGATCCACCATTGTCATTTATTTTCAACTAAATAAGAACTACTGTGATCAACGGCAACCCTTAGATATTCTAGGGTTTAGCTCTTGACCCACAACGCATCTATAAATAAGAGGAGACACCCCTGACGGCTCCAACCACGTGAAATAAATCACACAACCGGTCAATTAGGTGTTGGAGGGTCTAGAAAGGTCATCTCCCACGTCCATCTCGTCCAGATACATCTCGGCGGCGTTCAGAAGGCCACCGCTACCTGGCTCCTCACGTTCTTCACCAACAGAGGACATTCAAGTCCTCAGGCGGTGAACTCAAATCATTTGCTATATCTACGACCTTCATCGCGACATAGATGACGTCCACAGGCTCTGGTTAGTATCTAAGATTAGTTTCCGCATTAAGATAAGTTAGTGATCATGTTTAGGCTAAGGCCTTGTTTAGATTGCGGCTATGAATCAGTATTTGGCACTGTAGCACTTTCGTTTGTATTTGACAATTATTGTCCAATCATGGTCTAACTAGGCTTAAAAGATTCGTCTCGTAATTTACAATTAAACTATGTAATTAGTTATTTTTTATCTACATTTAATACTCCATGCATATGTCCAAAGATTTGATGTGACGGAGAGAGAGTGAAAAAACTTGTAATCTAAACAAGACCTAGGATATGATCTTGTTTATGCTAAGTTCTAATTCAACAGGATCAGCCTTGCATTGGGCGTGGCCTGGCATGGGGAGTTCAATGAAGTGACGAGGTCCGTACGTGGCACCGCTGGCTGCTGCTGCAGAAGTAGAACAGGACAATAGTTGTAAGCCCTTGTTTAGGTCTAGTTTAGTTTGCAAAAAAATTTGTAAATTTTTTCACATTCCCCGTCACATTGAATCTTTGGACGCATGCATCAAGCATTAAATATAAATAAAAAATAAAACTAATTACAGTTTAGTTCTTTTAAGCCTAATTAAACTATGATTGGACACTATTTGTCAAATAACAACGTCATCTAAACAAGCCCTTCCACCCCAAAATCCCAAAAAGTGCTACAATGTTCTTCGAATGTTTACTGCATACATGGGGCATATTTGGAAATTGGATAGTTTTGAGCATAATTAGTCTATGTTTGAACACTAATTGACAAATAAAAACGAACGTGCTACAGTAACCCTAAATTTCAAATTCCTGGACCTAAACACGCGCTAAAGTTCACAGTTCCGTCACCGTCAGTAATCGGGTCCTTCGGAGCAGCTGGGGCATGGAGGATAGTAGTAGCGGAACCGCGGAACGACATGGCCACGTTGCCGCGATTGAATGCGCGGCGGCTCCCAGAGCTTCCGTGGGCGTTGATCGATGGAGCGCCCGGCCCACACTGGACACCGCGCTGCGCGACCTTGCCACATGCAGGCGAGTGTGCACTCCTCCATCCCTTCACTGAAACGCGCCGCCGTTCTCGGCTCGCCCTGCTGCCTGCCTATATAAACTGCTGCGTGACTCGCGTGTCGTTCAGGGACGACGGAGCAGTTGCTTGGCCGCCGGGCATTGGTCCACCGATCGATATCTCCTTTTCCCGAGCACCTAGCAAGAGCTAGTGAGCTACCGACAAGTCGGCCAGCACGCTCTCCCTCTAGCTATAGCATTGGCTCCGCGCGCGCCATGGAGGTGAGGCCGACGAGGCGTCTGCTGTGCCTGGTGGCGGTGGTGAGCTGGGCGCTGGCGGTGGCGCGGTGCGACCCGCAGGTGCCGTGCTACTTCATCTTCGGCGACTCGCTGGTGGACAACGGCAACAACAACTACATCGTGTCGCTGGCGCGCGCCAACTACCCGCCCTACGGCATCGACTTCGCCGGCGGGCCGTCGGGGCGCTTCACCAACGGACTCACCACCGTTGATGTCATCGGTAAGCTGCTAGCTACACGACCGCCTTGGTCGGCGGTGTGGTCACACGCTCAGGTCGTCGGTCGAGCAGTCTAGCACAGCAGGCAGGCAGCTGTTGCTGTCTATCGTTTGTCCATACTAGCTCTATAGTAGCTGGTGACGTGATCGATGTTCTATGGTCGTCATGCACGTACATACATCATACATGTCTGGGTGATAACATGTGACCTGACATGCTGCCTGACTGCCTGAGGGCGGCTTCCAAATCCAAACAATAAATTGGGGAGAGGCTTATTAGTAAGACGGATGGGACTTTCGTAGCTGTAGTTGTTGAAGAAGGAAGAGGCGAAGAGCCGACGAGCTAGTCCAGTGCAGTCCACACTACCTGATCGCTCCTCGGTCATCCAAAAACTTGGCAACTTGACAAATGTACTGTAGCAGCGTGAAAGAAGGTGCTCGGTCGATGACTGTTACCTGGAATTTAATACGTACACTCGGGGTGGATAGAGATACGCGGCTGTAGGCTGTAGCGAAGAGCCTACGTTCAATTATGTTTGCTACTAGTATAAAACCTTGCACGAGTCACTCGTGCCAGACCTCCTGAAGCACAGACACCCATGCGTGCATTATTTAGCGTCCATATGTTTTTCCTTTTTGGGATGAGTTGTTATGTGCTTAACTCCTTTGCAAATTGCACAGCTCAACTTCTGGGTTTCGACAACTTCATCCCGCCGTTCGCCGCAACGAGCGGGGACCAGCTCCTCGGCGGCGCCAACTTCGCCTCCGCCGCCGCCGGCATCCGCGCCGAGACCGGCCAGCAGCTGGTATGTATGCTAGTGCTAGCGAATCCGCCACTGCGTGAGAAAAGAGAAAACCCAACAAGCAGGCAACAGCCACTAACTAGCTAGTGTATTGCGCACGCATTCTCTGCAGGGCGGTCGGATCCCGTTCGCGGGGCAGGTGCAGAACTACCAGACGGCGGTGCAGACGCTGGTGAGCATGCTGGGCGACCAGGATACGGCGTCGGACCACCTGAGCCAGTGCATCTTCAGCATCGGCATGGGCAGCAACGACTACCTCAACAACTACTTCATGCCGGCCTTCTACAACACGGGCAGCCGGTACACGCCCGAGCAGTTCGCCGACTCGCTCATCGCCGACTACCGCCGCTACCTGCAGACGCTCTACAGCTACGGCGCGCGCAAGGTGGTCATGATCGGCGTGGGGCAGGTCGGGTGCGCCCCCAACGAGCTGGCGCGCTACAGCGCCGACGGCGTCACCTGCGTCGACCGCATCGACGGCGCCATCCAGATGTTCAACCGCCGCCTCGTCGGCCTCGTCGACGAGTTCAACGCGCTCCCCGGCGCGCACTTCACCTTCATCAACGCCTACAACATCTTCGACGACATCCTCGCCAACGCTGCCTCCTACGGTAATTAGTAAATACACGGTCTCTGAAAATTGGACCGGACGATCATATCGATCACCGTGCAATATGGCTTACAAATGCAGGGTTCACGGTGACCAACGCCGGGTGCTGCGGGGTGGGCAGGAACAACGGGCAGGTGACGTGCCTGCCGTACCAGGCGCCGTGCGCCAACAGGGACCAGCACATCTTCTGGGACGCGTTCCACCCGTCGGAGGCGGCCAACATCATCGTCGGACGCCGGTCCTACCGCGCCGAGTCGCCCAACGACGTCTACCCGATGGACATCAGCACGCTCGCCTCCATCTGATCTGATCTCATCTCATCCATCCAAATTATAACAGCAGTTCAGTCCCCTAATATAGTCCTCCGTACCCACCAATGCAAAGGGTGCAGGCAAACGGGGCTCGAATATTCTTTCCTGTACTAGCTCGTATATCTGTAATTTTTGCAACTCATACTTTGGTGTATTTGCATCGGATACTTAGAAAAATAATCGATTCACTTTTTTTCGTTTTTAATTAACGCTCGTGCGTGCCTGAATCGGCAACAGATCAAAATTAGACAGACAACAATCACATGTTCTGGTAATTTAATCAGACAGATAAATTTGTTGTGTGGTTGCATTCGGACAGACGTATTTGCAGCTTCTTCATTCAAACCATGCCCATGCTCTCATGGGCCCATTGCATCTTTTCTTGAACTGTTGGCAAGCCCGACGTAATAATGATCAAACACACACGCATACCATGTCTGCACAAATAATTACACAATGCAACCGATAGAAATACAGCAATCCACGCCAGGCATCAGACTGCTTCAGTTTTCACCCGAAACAATTCAGATTGCTGCGCCTTCACCCCATCTGAATTCTGAAACTATGAATTGAATTCCTTCAGTTCACCGCACGCCTAAGCTAGGTCCTCTTGGCTTCTTCTTCAGCCTGCACCAGTTTCAGATGCTTCTCCGTCAGAAAGAAAAAAGAACCAAGGCGATTCCAAAATCATCACCGAAACTCTCTGGAAAAATGAACCCTAGGCAGCTGAGACGAAGAAAAAGAACTCACAGCTCGGATGATCTTGTCGAGCGCGTCGGGCCCGTGCGTCTCAATGAAGCGCTCGACGGACTTGCGCGCGTCGAGGCTCATCATCTGCAGCACCCGGCGCTGGCGCTCGTTGTAGTTGGGGCTCACGTAGTTGCTGATCTTGAAGTAGCGCCGGACGTGCGCTTCGTAGATGTAGGCCGCGCCGTTGAAGATGGGCAGCACCAGCCAGCAGCAGAAGAGCAGCTTCATGTACGGCCACAGGGGAAACCTGAGAGAGAAAAGAACCGCCGCGCGCTGAAGATGAATTCTTTATTCCTGGTGGCTCAGGCGCTCAGCGTGTGGCCACCGGAAGAATGGTTAAACTTACCACTGCAGCACTTTCCAGCATGAGAGCTCAAAGAGGGTGATCAGGGAGTACAGGACCCAGTAGGTGAGCCATTGCTGATCGTCCAGGGAAGAAGGGCTCTCTATGGCGCGCATGGACGCGTAGCTGTTAATTTTGAAGAAGACGACAAAAACTCTATTAGCATTCAGCACACGGTACTGTGGTGATTGTGTCTCAACGGAAGGAGTGGATTGTTACTTACAGAGGATAAAGCAGCATGATCCCTGGCCTGTCCGCGTCCGGTGCAGAAAAGAATTATGGAAATGGTCAGAGTTCATATGAATCAGAGAACAGAACAAGGCCAAAACGACAGCCATTGTTGCCAGGACTTGCATTGAAACATAAACACTCCAGGCATGCAGAGCTTACCCAACAAGGGCGTCCAGATTTCTAGCAAGGGTACCAAGAACACCCATGATCCGTTGTCGCAACTTGCGACCAGATTGCTCTAAGGTTTCTTGATCTCCTCGTTTTGAGATTCTCACTTGTGAGAAGCTTGGCCTGACGTTCTTGATCTCCTTCCCGTTTTGCGACAGTGTAGATGACAAGGGATGCGCAGATGGATTTATACTTCTGTGAAGGTTGTTTGATATTGTGGGGATTAAAGGTGGAGAGGACGAAAGGCATCCGTGCTGATACCATGCAAAGTCTTCTTTACCCTTGGTTCAAGGAAAGTAAGAACATTGCAGTTGGAAAGGTCTGAAGCAACTGCGTGCATCACCAGTAACCTTTTTCCTAGGTTGTAGGATCAGAGGGCTCCCAACAGTGAAGCTGCAGAAGTATTTTAGTGGGAATCAAGGAGCCAGCAGCTATCATTTGCACCGCAGCTGATTACCATAAAGGCAAAGACTGATGAATCTGGCAAAGGACCATTTCATTCTGAGGTGGTGTTTAAATCCAGGGGCTAAGGTTTAGGAGTGTCACATCGGGTGTTACATGGGAGTGTTCAGATAGTAATAATAAAATAAATTACACAAGTCCTCGGTAATCCGCGAGACGAATTTATTAAGCCTAATTAACCCATCATTAGCATATGTGTTACTGTAGCACGCATTGTCAAATCATGAACTAATTAAGCTTAAATAATTCGTCTCGCAAAGTAGTCGTAATCTGTGCAATTAGTTATTTTTTTAGTCTATATTTAATACTCCATACATGTGTTCAAATATACGATGCAATATACTCTGTTCGCTTGGCTGATAAGCCATGACTGAAAGTACCGTTGGCTGATTTGTTATGAGAGAAAAATACTGTCTGTTGGCTGAAAAAGTACGGCTTATAAGCCAAGCGAACAGGACGAAAGTACGGCTGAAAAACTTGCTGGCCTGAATGTTCACTTCGACTATCTTTCAAATGTAAGAGCCAAAAAGGTGAAACATGCAGCTTTGTAACAGCAGTGACTAATAATTGCAAATCACGTGCAGCATCCGAAAGTTTGCATGATGGCTTACAGAAGCTGACTGAAAGTAAATTTTATGCTTTACTTTCAAGCTTATAAATAATACAGTACACCGTCCGTGAAATTGAACTGCTGCCCATTCAAGTGGGTTCATAGCAAATACTGCTTAGTCTTAGAAATTGAATGCCCACAAAACACTCAAGTAGCTACAATCTGTACAGTTGAACTGTCCTCAAGCTTTTGTCAGATATGGCATGACATGTAATCAAACAATCAAATAACCTTGCACATTTGACTGGAAAAATTACAAGAAAAAAGCAATCTATCAATTGCTAAACTAACATGTTCGGAAATGTAGAGCTCTTACAAGTTACCTGTGCCTGACTGTTTGAATACTGAAAAACTCCAGAGCTGTCTTCAACGAGGATGCCTTATTATTATTTTTCTTGCTTTCCACTATAATACAACTGAATTGACACCACTATCAACTGAAAATTTGGTGGAGTATAGCAGTTTGGAATGATCATTCAGGTTTTGACCTGGCTTCGACATGGTATTAGCCCCTACAACCAACCCAGGACTAGACCATGTTTGAATAGGCGGAACTGGACCAGAACTGGCCCTTGGATTGTTGCTTTCATTTCTTGACGTTTGAACAGCATCTCTTGCTATTCTTTTACTAAAATCAAGTACCTGAGGATCAACTGCATCACTAAGTGACCAGCCAGGTGAATGGTTCACAATGTTTGGGCCCATAGACATAAAATCCTGTGTATCTGTAACAAGTTGTCTCTTTGCAGGTTGCTGTGAAACATTATCAGTCACATAAGCTGTTCTGTTGCTTATTGGCTTTGCAGGTTGCTGTGAAACATTATCTGCATAAGCTGGTCTATTGCTTATTGGTTCGGCAAAGCTAGCAACCTTCCTGCCATCTGCATTTGTAAGACTGCCCGCACAAGCTGCTCTGCCTGTTGAAACAGACTCGTTAGCCAAACCAGTTGCAAGAGAAAGACTCAGTCCAGGAGAAGAGCTTCTGGACAAACAATTATTCGCACCATACTCAAAAAAGGATATGGCAGGTGCAGAAGATGACTCCGCGCCAGGTATCTGGTAGGGTTGGTGAATAGGCATAGAACTAGGATCATCGTAAGACAACAAACTGGATTTCTGATACTTTTCCTTCATGCTTGCATTTAGCAACGATTTTGGAACCGGAGAAGATTGGTTCGCTGCTGGATCCACAAAACACTGATATTTCCTACTCATCTGTGCTGCATGAGTCCACAAATGAGACTGTTGATTCTGAGGAATGCTTATCAAATGAGGTGGTTGATGGAGCTCTAGATGCCTGGTCTGAGAGTTGGTGCAGACTACAGCTGCCTTATTGAATTCAGCTTGACGAACAAACTGATTACCAAAATTCCAAGCGCAATCTTTCACTGTTGGAGCACTATTTATTGGTTGTGGCCTTTGGTTATGGAGGCCACTGAAAGTTGTATTTTGCCCTGGCACGCTATTGTTGGGAATCCTTGCCAAAAAATCTGAAGAATTGTTTAGATGCACTCTTGGTGTCACAGAATCCTGACAAGGGAATGATCTCTTTTGGGGTAACTGACATGAGATTGTGGATAGGCGGCTTGTTTCAATGGCAACATTGTCAGGACTCACTTGATCCATGGTCGATACATTATGATCCTTGCTATGTGAGCAAACTGAGACGGTCTTACCCATCAAACGAACCGTGGGTTGCTGCAGATGATGATCACCTTGGCCCCCATAACCATTCAGAGCTGGTTTCCCAACTTGAGAGCTGCTTAGACCAATCTGTTTCTGACCTTGCATTACATAGGTCATGCCACTCAACAACTGTTGTTTCTGATATCTTATTGCGTTCATTGACTCTGCATTATTAAACCTGTTTTCACCTATCTTTACATTGCAGTTTGAGATCTCCATTCTTTCAAGGCCCGGTAGCTTCATAAAAGCCATCCCAATGTTAGCAGGACTGCAAATTGGGTGAAGTTTTGAATGCGAGCTACCCTGGTTATCTGTAGATAGTGCCGCACATGGATCCACATGTTTCCTACTTCCATGGCACACATTAGTTCTGAAGTTACCAGGTCTGGTAGTTGGGACGCATTCCTTGGCAGGCATACTTCTGAATGAAGACATGCCATTTGAATCAACTCTTGTGCTGAAAACTGTATGTGATACTGCAGAGGGCAACACGCTAGCTTGATATGAAAGTTGGTTGGCAGGCGCAGGTAGTGCAACCACTGCAGTGATCTCAATACTCTTCTTGCCCTTAACTGGTGCATCTTTATATTTAGTTTCTTCAGTTCTGGTTCTCATGGCAGGTGGACTGCTAGTAGAATTTGTACCATGTTTTTTTATTTCCTGAGAGCAGTTTTTGTTCACATCAAAACAACCCTGCAGAGGGTTACCAGAACCACATTTTGACCTCAGAACAGAATGAGAACCTAAAGCAGACACGTCAGTCAATTTCAACTGCATATCACCAAGACCTGGTTTCATCATATTGGTGTTCTTATGATTTGGCAGACCATCAATTCCAACAGTGGAAGGGTGACTCCCTGCCACATCATTGTGGGAGATGCATGCTGGCTCAGTGTCTTCACTTTTTGCCAAGTCTTCAAGAGGAGATGGCGTCTGAGCAGTGATGTCAGATGCAGCTATCAGCTCCAAGGGTACAGCTTCTGGTATAGAATCTGCTTCGGTTTGATTTGTTATAAATGATTCTTCTATAACAGTTGGAAGTTCATGAACACCAGTCCGAAACATAATCTTGGAGCTTTCTAATTCGAGAAGAGGGAGATCTCCAAAGATATCGTCTTTGGGCCCTGTGGAAGTTTTCACCATTTCATAGCCAGTATTTGTAGGATTATTAGTTGAACCATTGACTTCTATGACTTGCTTATTTACAGAGGAAACTTCCTTTATCCCCAAGAGGTCACTATTCATTTCACTAGAAGGGTCCGTTCTTTCTCTGTTTCGCTTATTCACGCTGTTTTCATGAGTTGGCATGCGATCACGTGCCTCTTCCAGTTTCTTCCTTGGTTCAAGTTCTGTACTTGTATGGACAGTAGAACTTTTATGCTTTCTCTGCAATGCCATATGCAACTTGTGTTCATGCAAACGAGATGTTGACTGAGGCTTAGCAGTTCTCTCCTGTTAATGAACATGTATTACTTACTACGAGCTGAAAATAAGGAGCGAAACTTCATAGAGGGAAAATGAATATTTATGCATTTTGGTTGTAGATTGTTCAAAAACAGTTCATGAATGCATCTCCAATACATTTTGTTACACTATCTCTAGCACAAAAGAATGAGAACAAGATTTCTTCCTGGAAATGCCTAGCTGGTGGAGAGTAGTTTAGTTTAGATAAAGTTGAATTATGGCTTACAACTCATCAGAGTTCTAGAGCACGATTTGGTATATTGTATTTTCAACCCGCTGCGTTGCACTATGCCACTATCTGGGCATCGTTCAATACATTGCATACAACTTTGATGTTAATAGGCTCAGTGTTTAAAGATGGTACCACTCCTCCACTAGAATTAATTGATCAAGAACAAAATCCTACAGCAGGAAATTCACAATTTTTCAACCCGCTGCGTTGCACTATGCCACTATCTGGGCATTGTGCAGTACATTGCATACAACTTTGACGTCTACAGGACCAGAATTCTTGCACATTGTTGATTGTTCAGTACAATGTGCTTGTGGCTCACCCTAAACCTAAAAGTCTAAAACCTACCAGCCCACCAAGCTAAAGCACATGCACCCATGAAGCAAAGCCATACCTTGTTCGTCAGAAAGGACCTAAATTGAAGCGCATGCCGGCGTTTCCTGGCCCTCTCGCCCGTGGAACTCGAGAGAGATCCCTTCCTCTTGGTCCCCTTCCGCAGCGCACCGCCGAGGCCGCCGGCTGCCGCAGCCTCTCCGCCCCTGGCGCCAGCCAAAAGCCGGGCCTGCCCCGCCGCGAGCTCGTGCTGCCACCACCGTGACAGCGGCTTCGGGTCCATCGGCGGGAACCGCGGCGGCGGCGGTTCCCCCTCCCCTTCGCTGCAGCCGCCGCCGACGAACGGGTAGCACTCGGCCGCGTCGACGGCCCGCATCCTCATGGCGTAACCCCTGCGTCATTCAGTCCAGCAGGTCAGCCGCGTACTCGGGACACCCCCGCTCGCGTCAGAACAGAGCCATGCCAAACGTTCAGAAGACGAAGCAGAAGCTGGAGCCGGGAAAGACGGAGAAGGACGCGCGCGCTTACCGTATGGAGAATGGCTCAGCGGCAGCGGGCTTGGCCATCCTGGCTTCCTCTCACCCGGGGCGCAGGCGCGCTCCGCCGGCGAGAGATGGGGATGGTGGGGGGTTCTGAGACTCGGAGGAGGGGGGGAGGAGTTCGAGCTGAGAAATGAGACGAGCGAGCGAAGGGAAGGGCGGAGAAGACTAGAGGAGCCGGCGAAAAAAAAAACAACAAAAAGCGAGTCAAGAGAGAGCGGGGGACGTGATATTTCTTATACCACTCACACATCGTAAATATATAAAAATTCCGTGGGAGTGGGACAGAGGTGCAGCTAGTTAGGGAGGAGGGGGTGTGGGTCCCGGCGCGCGGCGGATTGGACGTCAGGGTTCACCGGGTTCACCGGGTCGCCTGCTTTCAATTTACTGCCCCGCCTCATGAACCGTGCGCTGTGGTGCCGCGGTGGTGGGTGGTGGGCGGTGGGCCGGGGAACCCAGGGGACCCAACCGGGCGGGTGCGCAGGCGGCCTTGCCCCCGCGGGCGTCCCGCGTATTCGGGCTTTCGGCTGCCCGAGCGACCGACCCGTGTCAACCTGCTCGGCATGATGTGTAAATTTTTCAAACCGGGGATTTTCCATTTCTATTAACAAGTAACGGAAATACAGCAGGGTTTTAGGTAGCTCAGGAAGCAAAAATCTGCCAGAACAAGCCACCAACGTTAGAAGACAGACAAAAGAGCGGGTCAGAACAAGCCAACGACAAAACAGAAAGAAAGGCCACCAGTTTCTACAGGCTACCAAAAGCCAATGCTTTTAAACTACGACCAGCACGCTAATGACAAACAGACTGCTGAGCATAAGACTGTGTCCAACAGCCCTCACCCAAATACGAGATGCATTTGTTCGTTTTGGTCTCGCCAGAAAAAAGGTCACGCACACCAAATCTTCTGGTTTCCAACAGCAGACCCAAAAAAGGAGAGCCCCCACGCAGCCGAGCCTCCGAGCGCCGAACAGATCCCGCTTCAACACCGACGACGACCCAGAGCCCTGCGGCCCCGCCTGCCGACTGCGAGCTTGTCAATGTCCTTGCCTCGACCACCGTCTGTATCGCGCCACCGAGCCCATGACCCCAACGCGCCAAGCCTCTGCGCCGACGCTCCTGCTGCCTCGGTCGACCGTGCGGGAGCCCCGGCGACCTCGCCCCATGGCTGCTCGCGGGCCTTCCCCGGCGCAGCCTCCCGCCCTCCCTCCCCTGAAGAAACGCTGCGAGCATGACTCGGATCCCGGCCGGCGAGCTCCCTCCCCTACGCGGCCTCCCTCCCTCCCTCCGATGTTCCCTCCCTGCGAGATCCGGCGAGCGCTGGGCGACCGCCGACAAGCACCTCCGCCCCCACGCGGCGTTGCTCATCACCGGCGGCGGGGGAGCGGTCCCAGATCCGGCAAGGCAGCCAAGGCCGGTGGCTCCGGAGGTGCTCCCACGGCGAGCTCGCCTTGCCGAGCCGACCACGCCCCGCCGCGGTCCCGCCTGGTAGCGCCGGCTGCTCCACCCCGACGCCTCCTACGGGCCCACCACTACGGGCGCTGGAGGTTTGCGTCTTAGAGAGAGACGACGTAAATAAGCGTTCTGGTTCGCCTCGTACCCAAAATACGTGCTCTGTTTGCGTCTTCTGTTGAGCGCTGTTTTTTACAGCTAAAGCACTATGCACGACCTATTTTGGGTTTGCGTCTCGCTTTTCATGAGCTGTTGGAGATAGTCTAACAACACATAAAAACCATCGCAGCTCTCAAATGGCCGGCTATTGATGAGCATCACCGTCCTTCCTAGCATCTTGAATCAGGTTGGCAAACTTTGTTTCTAGTCGTCCATATTTGCCCAAATGGCCGCAATTCCTACACCAAAGATCCCCCCCCCCCACCTGGTATCCATTCTGACACCATTTCCAGCAATTGCTGGGAAAGAAGGGATGTCAATGGCCCCCAAACACATGGCAAAGGTAGCCCAAATCATGTTAGCATTACAACAGGAAAAAGAGCAAGTGTTGCATACATTCATCTTGATCACAAAAGTAGCAGGAAGGGTCTTCCATTGCCTTTTGATCATATTATGGCAAAAAATAGACTCTAGCGGTAGTTTAACGATAAAAAAATGGACCATTTGAGTTCGCAAAGTTTATTCCGCAACTAGTCGTGCTTCATCGCTGCTGCGCGACTCCTTGCGGAGTCAACCTCTCTCCTTTTCTCCATCTATGGCGGGCTTAGAAGGGGCTCGGGGAAGGCATGACGTTCCGACGATGGGGATGGGATAGACGGCAGGCAAGGTGGATGAGACAGCAGGGTGGGGTTAAGGCGGGGGCAATCGTGGCCATGGCAAGGTGGGGGAGGGGGGGGGAAGAAGTAGGCCATGGCCTCGGAGCTTCAACGAGACTGTACCGCGTCGTGCAGCGGCGCGACCCGTCACGCAATCTCTACGTCCATTCGAGTTGCCTGGGAAGATTTTATTTTCTCCTCTCCAGTCAATATGTTGTTTTGAATCTTTATGAACGTGATTGTAAATCACACAAAGGTTTTATACAAGTCAAGTTCGTGGGCGTTGAAAAAAGATCAAATGAACCGTGAGAGGAAAAAGATGTTTGAATTTTATGACATGCCTGGAATTTTTAGAACATTTTCCCCTTCAAAACTTGAACATTATACGGCCTGCTCGCTTGGTCGTAAACGATCGTAAATTTCCAGCCAGAACAGTATTTTTCTCTCACACCAAACCAGCCAGCAGTAATAATCCACGATCATATACGATCGTTTCAGCCCCAGCCGAACAGGCTGTATGTCACTTAAATGCCATTGGTTAAAAAAATGGAAAGATAAGTATCTGGCAATGGATAAATAAAAGCAAATAATGCTACTTTGTCAACTGTTATGAGTAAGAAAAAGCGAAATATTTCATAAACTGGAAAAAAAGTTGGATGGACCTCAGTCCATGCTTGCAACTATTCACGTGGAAGTACTTAAGACAAAGGTTCACTAGCTTGCCACTCATCTAATCTCAACTCCGACACAGCCATATTCTTTCTCCGCAACGCGGTGTTCATCCACTGTACTCCGCCGCCTGCAAATCTGAACGGCGAGCAAAATAGCCGCCGGGGCAGATGCCCGCACCATCGCTGCTGACAATGCCACCACGCAACACCTCATCCCAGTATTATACACACAGAACGTTAGATGTATTATAAAACTTCAATTAAGTGGCATCTCCAATATTACAGCTCCGTACTCTCCCCCTTTCAGATCTCTTAAGATATCGCAAAAAAAAAAACAGGCTTTTTTTTTTCCAGAATTGCTATCTATCAACCGGATGTTTTGGCCTCCTCTAGCATCCGTTTTTTTTTTTGGCCGTTGGATCTTGCACGTTTATGTTCTGGACCGTCCGATCTGGTTGTTTGCTTTTGGTGTTTGATATCGCCGTCGCTGTGGGTTTTTGTGAGGATGACATGTGGGGGCAAGTTGTCGGCGCCGCACTGTTTGATTTTTTGGGAGTTGCGCCGATTTACTCGCTGTCGTTTTCCCCTTTCCCCATTTCCTTCTCATTTCGCTTCGTCTTCTTCTTGGCGACTCGGCGCTCTCCACCGTTGGCGATTGCTAGGGTTTGGCGAGGTACGCTCCTTATGCTCCATTACATCAAGTTCTTCTCCAGCGAGTTGGCGTTCTCTGTTGTTCGCCGTTCCTCCGCACGCCTCGGCGCTCTCCGCCATTGGCGATTTTTTTGTTTCTAGTTGTTTCTTCTCTCCATTCTAATTTGTTCTCCTCTTTGTGTATGCGAATCTGTGTCCTCCGACGGTGGCGACTGGTGCGGCGTCTGGCGTTTGTTAGGGTTTGGTAAGTTTTGTTTTGTTTCTGCTCTATTGGATGATGTTTGATAGGGTTCGTTTTCCTTATCTGATTTTGTTGTGATGTTTTCATTTCTTCTCGTATTCCTGCACCGGTGGCTGCGTTTGTTGTGATGATGCTCGGTTCCTAGGGTTTGCCAAGGTATGTTCGTTCTGCTTTAGTAGATTATGTTTGTTAGGGTCCGTTCTCGTCGTTTTGCGTTTTGGCCGTTCTCATTTCTTCTCATATTCCTCCACTCGATTTGGTGTTTTCCGATGGTGGTGGCTGGCCCTGCTACTGGCAACTCATAGGGACTGTTAAGGTATGTTTTCTTCTCGAGTTTGTCATGTTTTTTATCTAGCTCTTGTGCCTAGTGTGTGGCGCTACTTTTTTTTTGCTTAATGATGTATGTATGTGTGTTGATGGGTAGATTGTTGATGTTATTTTAGTAGATTCTATTTCCAGTTTAGTTATGTTCAAGTTCAATAGAATAGTATTTCTCTTCATGTTGAGTAGAATAGTTTTTTTTCAAGTTCAATAGAGGTTGATGGATAGCAATTTTGTTTTGGTAAGTTCATGTTTAGGTTAATTTGAGTAAAACTGCTTTTATTTGTTTTCTCTTTGTTCACTGTTGTTTTGGTTGACCATGGATGCCTCCTCTATGTTGTATTTTTCTGCTTATTTGGGTATGCCCAACGAGATTTGAGCATGTAGATTTGTGAAAATTATGTTAATAGGTTATGGTTATGAAATGAATTCCCTGCTATTTTTGTTACGACATGGCCATTTTTGTGGAAAATTGAAACATTGTGGAGTTTAGGGCACTGGAAGTTGTGACATGTGTTAGCTTTAGAAAAATTACATTGACATGTTTCTGTGAGTTGTCATCTTGACTAATTGTTGTCGCCTTTTAGAAGATGCATTATCAAAGGCTGTTTAGTTGATGGTGTGTTGTGTTTCATGCAGTGATTTCAAGATGAAAGGTCAATCTCATTTCAAGACTAGATTACCTGTTTTGTAGCTTATATTTTACTTTCCTAGACTATAGTTTTTTGCTTATTTATGGGTTGGGAATGGCTGTTTTCTTTTATTTTTTGGGAATGGTCTTAGCAATGTTGCAGTGTCTTACTACATCTATTTTGGAGTATATTTGGGTGATGTTATCCTTGTATAGTAGTTTGTCGTATAGTTGGTACTTAGACT